TGCAAGCAGTGATTGGACCATGGTATGATTGGCAGGTGGCGTGAAGCGGCCACTACAAAAGCCAGTGTGAGGCACCACCTTGGGGTGTGCGTATGTGCATGTGCACGGTGGTGCATGTGGGTGCATGTATGTGCGTAGGTGTGAGTGTGCACGTGTGTGGGTGCGTACGTGTCTGTATGAGCTGAGTTTGAGAGCCTGAGAGTTTGGTGTCAGGTTGGTTTGCTGGAGAGGCTGGGAAGACTGGGAGTGCGGGTGCTAAGTGGTGCATGTGTGGGGACACTGGACTTCTCACTTGAGATACTCCCTTCACTTCCCATCGGACAGGTAACGTATCACCCTTCCCATTATCATTGCCCCTGTGCTAAGCCAGTCCTTACAACCTCCAGCAGTTTTCTGACCCTCATAGATGCACTTGCTGTTCCACCTTTCTTCAGGCAATGTGACTATCCAAAAGCCACCACCCTTCGCCCCTCTCTGTTCCCTATCCTCCCAGTCCCCCAGTCTTGCAAGAGTGCCAGTGCTAAGTTCACCAAGTTCAATTCACAACACCCACATCCTAGAGAGAGAAAATATCCAGGTGGGGATTTTAATGGCCATACAGAAGTTGTGTCACAAGATACGCACCACTAATATCCAAGAGTGGAGTAGAGGACTGCAATGCAATGATTAAATTTGACACTTATCTGTGCATCTCAAGCAGGAACAGTATACACTTGTGTTTGCTCTCTCCCTAAACCAGTGATTCTCAGATGAAAATGAAAAGGCAGTATCTAAATATGAAACAAAGATTACACTTTACAACAGAGTACTGCTTCAGTCTTACTTGTGATCATGTAACTGAAGCATTCAAGAAAGAATGTTGCAATGCAAAAGCAGGCTCCAAAATTATGCTACTTCATGCAAAATGTATGTAAATTGAAAGGGAAGTACTAACACTTCACTTCAGGCAGGCTGTAGTGAGTGACTCTGGCAGCAATAAATGCAACCTTATCCTAGACAAACCCACAGACATTAATGAGTCAAACATTAACATTTCTGCCATGGAATAGAAGTGCTTGAGATAATTGAAAAATTAGAACTAATACTCAAAGGCTTGTTGTTCTCAGAACTGACAGCACCTCAGTGATGATAACAAGGAAGGAGGAATATGGACTCCCTCGAGTTCTCATAGATTACATTCGTCATTTTCTATAATTTGCAGTGCCCCATGCATCTGAACAAAAACTTCCAAAGACCATCAAATTTGTTATAGGAGAAACATTTTTTTTTCTTGTTGCATACTGCCAAAAAGCATATTGCAGAGTTTTTGAAAATATCATATAAAAAGAAGAACCACTGAAGTAAACAACACTTTTCTACATTTTTGCACTGAATTGAACTTTACCCCCACCCAAGAAATATAGACCTATATAAAGAGCAAAAATTGGGAGAGAGACAGGGAAGCAAAATTAAGCATTTGCTGGAAGTAGAGGAAGGGCAGGACTTAAAGGCAAAGAACAGGATAACTGTCTATTAGGATCCAACCTATGATCTGAGTTTGAGATAGTCTAGTTTTAAAAAGGTGAACAGGCAGGTTTGAATTATTTAACTGGGGCATGATGCTCCAAAAATGTGGTATTGTCAGGCTTGCATATCAAAGAGGAAATATAATATCATGCATTCGTCCCGTTTGTGAGCATAGTTATGACTTTAGAATAGCCCTAGGAGCAAACTTCTACAACACTGCTGTTTAGGAGGAGAGTGTAAAAAATCCACCCCAAAAGCAGGAA